AGTGCTGGGATTATAGGCATGAACCACTGGTGCTGGGCTGAACATATTTTTATTGAGGGCCAGCTATCTGCAGATTTTGAACAAGGCTCTGTAAATCCATGGGATCAAAACTGACCAACCTTCATGTCCTTACGCAGTTTACAGTCTAGTGGGAAGTTGACAGAACCACACAGCTATAATTACAAATTGTAGTCAATGGAAATTGCATGAATAAACACCTTGAGGTTAGGGTAGATGGGCCATGATACAGTTGAGGCGCTAAAGGGCCACAATAGAGGAGTGAAGAGGGAGGAGGCTGGAGAGGTAGCAAGAGACTAGCTAAGAGGTCTATGAAATCAGATTTGAATCAGCACCACAGAATTGGTAGTTGCCAGGAAATGTGTGTGGTGTGAGTAAAAAGCTGAAATCTAGGCTGGGTGTGGTGACTTATGCCTGTAATATTAGGACTTTAGGAGGCCAAGGCAGGAGGATCGCTTGAGTGCAGGTGTTCCAGACCAGCCTGGGCAACATTGTGAGACCCTGTTTCTACAATAAATAAAAATAATTAGCTGGGTGTGGTGGCACATGCCTGTAGTCCCAGCTACTCAGGAGGCTGAGGTGTGGGGGGATTGGTTGAGCCCAGGAGTTTGAGGTTGAATGAGCCGTGATCGTGATTGGGCCACTGCACTCCAGCTGGGTGACAGTGAGACCCGTTCCCTAAAAAAAAAAAAAAAAAAGAAGAAGAAGAAGAAGAAAAAGAAAACAATTGAGCTGGTGGCTATAAATCACCCATTTAAGAAGTTACTGGTGAAAGCAGTTTTTGTAGTTTTTAAAATTTATTTACTCAGCTAAAGATAATCAATCTCATGATGTGTTTCAGATGAAAAAAAAGATATTGACCATGAGACTGTGGTTGAAGAACAGATCATTGGCGAGAACTCACCTCCTGATTACTCAGAATATATGACAGGAAAGAAACTTCCTCCTGGAGGAATACCTGGCATTGACCTCTCAGATCCCAAACAACTGGCAGAATTTGCTAGGTAAGTTATAAGAACTTTACTTTCTTATAATTATAGAAAGTGCTTGAGTCTTGACAGCTATGTTTTCCTGTGCCTAAGTCAAAATGGTGGTTTGTATTCTTTCTCTAGGGCAATTCCTGAAAACAAAAGCAGTCCGTTTTGGGTTTTTTTGTTTGTTTGTTTTTTGTTTCTGTTTTTTTGAGACAGAGCCTCCCTCTGTCACCCAGGCTGGAGTGCATTGGTGCGATCTCGGCTCACTGAAACCTCTGCCTCCCAGGTTCAAGCAATTCTAACAGTCAGTTTTAGTTTTAGTAGTAGCTATGCTATTAATGTAAGTGGCAGCATTTTAGATCCTTGCAGTAAGATGAAGCAAATACCCTTTATTTATAGGCATTGCATGTGAGTAAATAAAATTGCCCGTAATTTGTTTTGGAATGGATATCTTCCACACTGCCTTATGGCTTCTTTGTACACATTTTATTTTTTATTTATCTATTTATTTACTTATTTATTTTTTGAGACAGAGTCTCGCTGTGTCTCCCAGGCTGGAGTGCAGTGGGCGCGATCTTGGCTCACTGCAAACTCCGCCGCCTCCTGGGTTCTCGCCATTCTCCTGCCTCAGCGTCCCCCGAGAACCTGGGACTACAGGCGCCCGCCACCACGCCCGGCTAATTTTTTTGTATTTTTAGTAGAGACAGGGTTTCACCATGTTCGCCAGGATGGTCTGGATCTCCTGACCTCATGATCCGCCCGCCTTGGCCTCCCAAAGTGCTGGGATTACAGGCGTGAGCCACCGCGCCTGGCTTATTTTTTATATTTTTGAGGCAAGAGTCTTGCTCTCTTGCCCAGGCTGGAGCGCAGTGCAGTGGTGCAATTTCAGCTCACTGCAACCTCTACCTCCCTGGTTCAAGCGATTCTCCTGCCTCAGCCTCCCAAGTAGCTGGGATTATGGGTGTGTGCCGCCACACCCAGCCAATTTTTATGTTTAGTAGAGACAGGGTTTCATCCTGTTGGCCAGTCTGGTCTCGAACTCCTGGTCTCAAGTGATTTCGCCTGCTTCCACCTCCTAGAGTGCTAGGATACAGGCGTGAGCCACTGTGCCCAGCCCGTAGTACACATTTTAAATTTGGGTGTGTTGTATTGGTCTATGCTGCTGGAGACCTGGGTCTGTACTAGATTCATCCAGCTGACCACTGGAAAGGATTTCATAAATTTGTATTCGTCTTATCATCAGTTAAGCTCCTGGTATGTTAATTTAAGCTGGCATGACAGGAGGAGATGAAGTTATTTATGGCTGGGACATGGCGAGCAGTGGAGACACTCTGAACCCATTGGTTGGGTGTGTTTGTTTTGCCTAAAGTGGGTTGGGTTCTTATAGAAGCCTACTTTTTGTATTACTTTCTAGTACTATTTGGCAGTTTGTACAAGGAGCTGAAAATACCCACAAAGATGTAAACTTTTAAATTAAATGAACTAATAAAATAAACTCTGGAGCAGAAAGCCTAGTGCCTTTCCATACCTGAGGTTGAATGGAACCTGGAATAGCTCAGGAAATTTCGGCAAGGGCAGGATCAAGAAGAAAGAAATTCTTTTGATCTTGCACATTCTAAGAACAGAGTGAGTTGCGTTTTTTTTTTCTTTTGAGAGCAGAGTGGTAGAGGTGGAGACCCTTCAGTGTCCTGGCTTCCCTCTTGGCCCTGCCGAAAACAAGGTGGGCAATTCCTGCCACCTGGAGCTCCTTTCCCCACTTGTCAAATGGGCATTAAGAATTCCATTGTGATTTGATACATGGGGGTTCTCAACCCTTTATTCTCTCCAGTGAAACTATAGCTATAATTTATAATATATGCATTATTTCTAGTTTATCATGACTTAAAACAGTGAAGGCTCTATCCTTTTGTTAATGACATTCCAGCTTTTATGGACATTCATATTTCAAATACAGTTATGTAAATATTAACTGCCCTTTCCCCAAAAAAAGTAACAAAAATGGAATCTGTAGGGTTCTTAGTCAACTGTGAAGTTTTTGGACAGATTGAGTCAAGTATGATGCCAGTGTTTAATGTTGTCATGTGTTCTGTTTTTTTTCTTTTTTGACCACGCCATCGCACTCCAGCCTGGGCAACAAGGGTGAAACTCCTTCCAAAAAAAAAAAAAAAAGAAAAAGGAAAGGAAGGAAGGAAAGAAACTACAAAAGATAATGGAAAAGATTTAGAAACAGATTGACTGTGTGCTTGGTGGGGCACGTGGGGTAGGA